CGGGGGGGGGGGAGGGACGGGAGGAAGGGACAAATAAGGAAGGATAAGGAGACAAAAAGGAGACAAATAAGGAGACAAATAAAGACACGGGGGAAGGAAATATTTAAATTATTTTTATTAATTTAATTAATTAATTAATTATTTAATTAAATATAATTCTTACTATATATATTATTATATTAATAAAAAAAGGAATATTTGCGGTGTATAGGCAGCTATACTAAATACATTTATTTCTTTAAATAATTATAAATAAAATAAAAATATTAATTATAATTAATTAATTAAATAAAAATAATAATATTTAATTAAACATGTAAATATAAATAAATAAATAGAATAAATAAATAAATACATACATAAGAAAGACAGGCCTTTGCCTCCCTATTGTCGGCTGCGCTTTGGGGCTGCATGCATGCGTCTTTCTTTGTTTTTTCTCTGTTTTTACCCCTTATACAAATAATATTCAGTCATTTAATATTCTATTTGCCGTTTATTGAATACCTTTACGCTCCCAGCAGCATCCAGCAGCAGCAGCAGCAGCAGCAGCAGCAGCAGCAACAACACCAGCAGCAGGGTAGGTAGCAAAAGATCAATAGACAGCAGCATTTATTCTTCTTTTTTTATTTATTTTATTTATTTTTATTATTTATGTTTTATTATTAACGTTATACACTTAATTAAAGCTGCAACTCTGCAGCAGCAGCGGCAGCAGCGGCAGCAGCAGCAGCTGCAGCAGCAGCTGCTGCTGCCGCTGCTCATACTCATAGACAGCTACGAGGGTATCAAGCTGCAGGAGGAGCCAGAACAGCAGGAGCAGCAGCAGGAGCAGCAGCAGCAAACGTAACAATAGATAGGGTGTCAACCGCTGCAGCAACTGCAGCAGCAAACGTAACAGCACATCCTACTTCAACAACAGCAGCAGCAGCAGCAGAACTAGGCATCTGCTGCTGCTGCTGCTGCTGCTGCATCGAAGATGATGGAGAACAATATGGGAGATCCTTTCTATGCAGCTCGCGAGTATGTTACCGTCTTGCTGCTGCTGTTGCTGCTGCTGCTGCTGTTGCTGCTGGTGTTGTTACTGTTGTTGTTGCTGCTCCTGCAAGTGCTGCTCTCAGAGCAGCAGCTGCTGATGTTGCTTCTTGTCGTGCAGCAGCAGCAGCAGCAGCTGTGCTGTTATTTTGAATTGGAGGAACTGCATGTACACTTGTTGCTGCTGCTGTTTCTGCTGTTGTTGTTGCTGCTGCTGTTGTTGCTGCTGCTGCAGTGAGGTGCAGGCGAACTTTGCTGAGCTGCAGCGGCTGCAGCACGAATGGAAGCAGCAGCTGCAGACACGAGGACATATAGACAAGTGCAGCAGGCAAGTCAGCTGTACATACACCTCAATATAGTTGCAGACACTGTTACTTGTCTTGCCCCTCCATCTCCCCCTAATCCTCCTCCTCCTCCCCTTGCTGCTGCTGCTGCTGCTAATGCTGCTGCTGCTGCTGCTGTTGCTGCTGCTGCTGCTGCTGCTGCTGCAGCTTGAAGAATACAATAGATAATTCAATGGAGGCATTAGGCGAAGATCTTCGTGCCTTAGAGAGAGCTGTTGCTGTTGCAGCAAAACATCAGCAGAGGTTGGGGCTGCATGCAGAGGAAGTAGAAAGAAGAAGATTATTTGTTAGGCAGCAGCAGCAGCAACTTGATGCACTCAAGGCTGATGTTAAGGTACCCTAAACCCTAAACCCTATCTAAACCCTAAACCCTATCTAAACCCTAAACCCTAAACCCTAAACAGTATCAAAACCCTAAACCCTAGCTAGACACAACGGTAGCAGGCGAGAGTTTAAACCCTCGTATAAACCCTAAACCCTAAACCCTAATAAACTCTTTATTGTCATTGAGGTAACTTTTGCTACTGCAAGGCTAGGGTTTAGGGTTTAGGGTTTAGGGTTTGTGTTTCTTAGGCGGCAGCAGCCTCTCCTTTTTGGCTAAATGAAGGCCCAACAGCCCGAGGGGATTTCTTTGAAGAAATCGAACAGAAGCAGCAGGTAACACCACCAGCAGCAGCAGCAGCAGCACGTAACTGCAGCAGCAGCAGCAGCAGCAGCAGCAGCAGAAGGTAGCAGCAGCAGGTATTTACGACACATATTGAGGAGTAGAAGGATGAGGGTTTAGGGTTTACTATTATCGTTGTGGACCCTTTCCCCATTGGATTCTTCTGCTGCTGTTGCTGTTGTTGTTGCTGCTGCTGTTGCTGCTGCTGCATGCATGTATGCATGCAGACATTGGTGATGCAGCAAGACCAGCAACTAGAGGAATTAGCAACAGCAGCAACAAGATTACATGAGACAGCATTAACAATTAATCAAGAATTAGAGACACAGCAAAGAATGCTTACTGATCTTGATGATACTGTAGAGAGACAAGGTAAATATCCTGCTGCTGCTGCTGCTGCTGCTGCTGTTGCTGCTGTTGCTGCTGCTGTTTTTGGTGTTGTAGTTTATATTGCTGTAGCTGGTCTTGTAGTTGTTGCGGCGGTTTCTGATGGTGTAGTAGTAGCTGCTGCTGCTGCTGCTGCAACAGCAGCAACAGCTGTATCTGCTGCTGAACGGTTGCCTAGACAGCAGAAGCAGCAAGAAACACAGCAGCAGTAGTAGCAGCAACAGCAGCAACAACAGCATCTACTGCGTTTGTGCTGCAGCTAGCCAAATGAACTTCCTCATGCGGCGACTAGCCAAGGTTGTGCGCAGCTCGGGTAAGTCCCTCTCCCTCTCTTTTCTTGCTGCTGCTGTTGCTGTTGCTGCTGCTGCTGTTGCTGCTGTTGCTGCTATCCTTAATTCTTTGCATGCAGGTGTTCTTGTTGCTGTTTTACTGCTGCAGACACCCGACAGCTGTGGACAATTGTTTGGTTGTTTTGCATTGCTGTTGCTCTGTTCGTGCTGCTCATCATCTCCTAGTGCAGCAGCAGGCATGCAGCTAGCTGCTCAACAGAGGAGCAGCTAGCTAAGCAGCTTGATAGACAACTAGCTAGACAGCTAGCCACGAAACTGGCTAGAGAGCTAGCTATAAAGCTAGCTAGACAACTTGCTAGACGGCTAGCCAGACGGCTAGCTACAAAACCGGCTAAACAGCTGGCTAGACGGCTAGCTGGGAACCTAACTGGACAGCTAGCCAGACAGCTAGCTACACAACCGGCTAAATAACTGGCCATACAGCTAGCTAGATGGCTAGCTAAACAACTGTATAGACGGGTAGCTAGATAACTGGCTGTACAGCTAGCTAGACAAATGACTAGAGAGCTAGCTAGGCAGGTTTCTCAACAGCTAGCTGGACAGAGTGCTGGGCAACCGGCTAGATAGCTAGCTATGCGACTAGCTGATTAGTTAGCTAATTGCTCGCCAGCTGGCTAGCCCTTAGCCAGAAAGTTCGGTACTGGCTAGCTGTCTAGCTAGCTGTTAGCTAGCCATTGGCCAGCTAGACAGCTGGCAAGACAGCTAGCTGGACATCTAAGAGAGAGCCTCTCTTTGGCCTCGGCTCCAACTGCTGCCAGTGAAGGAAGGAGAAATTGGGTTCGTGCTGCTGTGCTGCTGCTGCAGCAGCAGCTGCAGCAGCAGTTGCTGCATCAACAGCCGATGTTGTTGCTGCTGCTACTACTGCTGCTCTCCTTCTGTAGCTACTCCCCCATTTGCTGCTGCTGCTGCTGCTGCTGCTGGTTTCAGTTACCAAACAAAAACTACAGGTAAAAGCCTCTCTTCAAGGCTTCCCTTCCCTCGTGAATCTGCACACTTCTCTTAGGGGCCCCCTGTGGGGGGCCGACCTCTCAGGGGCCTCGGTTGGGGCCCCATTGACAGCCCATGTAAGCCATAAGAGTTATGCAGCCCCTGTACAAGAGTTCCTCTCTCTAGCCCATGGGTACGTGGACACAGTACCCTCTGGTGGCCCCTGCTGGGGGGGCCCTCTTCAGCAGCAGCTTCTGCTAAAAGACCCTGTGGGCCCCTGCTAGGTGGCCCCTTCAGCCGAACCTGCTGCTGGGGGCCCCTGCCTCTTCTGGTGACAGCAAAGAAAAGCCACCAAACAAAAGGGGACCGCACAAGAGGGGAGGGCCCCTCCTTTCCTTCTCATGGAGGCGGGCCCCCAGCAAAAATGCTTTGTTACCGGCTAGAGCCTTCTGCTGCTGCGAGGCCCCCTGAGACCCAAGAGGGCCCCTCAGAGCTGCTAATGCCGGGTGGGGCCCCCTGGGGGCCCCTCAAACTCTCACGACTGCAGCTTCTATCCGATAGGTTTCGCCTTGGCTTTGCAGCGACGCAGTGTACCTCCACCACACTGCTGCTGCTGCTGCTACTGTTACCAGTGGTGTTGTTGCTGTTGCTATTGCTGGCGCTGCAGTTACTACTGCTGCTGCTGCTGTTGTTACTGCTGCTGCTGCAGCGGCTCTCTCCGGAAGCGGTAGGCTTTCCTGCAGATGGGACAGTGCTTGCGTGTGGGCTCTTGGCATCAGGACCTTTTTTGTTGTCGCTGCTGCTGCTTGTGCCGCTGCTGCTGCCAGTGTTGCTACAAGGGGCACTGGCGCAGCAGCTGCTGCTGCTGTTGTTGTTGTTGTCGTTGCGGGATCGTTCGGTTTTTGGGGCGGAATCTGCTGCATCTGCTGCTGCATCTGCTGCTGCATCTGCTGCTGGTGTTGCTGATGCTGCCTCTGGGCTGCTGCTGGCATTCTCCTGCAGCAAGGCGCCAGCCATAAACCCTAAAGCAGCACAAAGGCCACGGAAAGCCTTGTGGCGGGCAGCTACATCAGCAGCGCGCTGCCTAGATGGTTCTGCTGCTGCTGCTGCTGATCTGCCACTGCAACTATTGTTCGCAGCAAAGGCTGCTACAGAGCGCCGAGGCCGTCGGGTGCCTGCTTGGCGTCTGCTGCTAGCAGCACCACCACGCGATGCAGCAGCAGATCCAGCCTCGGCGGGAACGGACTTGACAGGTGTTGCAGCAGCAGCAGCTGGTTCTGCTGCTGTTGCTGCTGCACCTGCTGCTGCTCTAGCAGCAGGTGGACAGGAATTTGCTGTCCAATGGCGGTTGTGATGACGGGATGGGCGGGAACTGTGCTTCTGCTGCTGCTGCTTCTGCTGCTGTTGCTGCTGCTTCTGCTCCCTCCCGTTGGGCCTCATATTGACCCATCGTGTGCCTAGTCTGGGCGAGCTACGGTAGTAGTGCTGCTGCTGCTGCCAGAGTTGGTACAGCTGCCACTGCTGCTGCTGCCACTGTTGCTCAAGATGCCAGAGCTGCTGCGGCGAGTAGTGTTGTTGCTGTTGGTGCACGTGCTGCTCCTGCAACAGCCGATACAGCAACTGCTGCAGGGCGTAGTTCTGCCCTAGCCGCTGCTGATTCAAAAAGAGCTGCTGCTGCCAAAAGGAAGGAACCATACCTTCTCCATAGAGGCGAATTGCTGCTGCATGCAGCTGCTGCAGCTCTTCAGGTGTAATGACAGGTAAATGAGGCAGCAGCACTTCCGTGCTGTTGCTGCTGCTGCCAATGCTGCTGAAACCAGGGTCAGCCCAACGCTGCCGTGCTTCCTCATGTCCAGCAGCAGCAGCAGTAGTAGTCGATCCTGTTCGATTCCCATTGCTGCCGCTGCCGTCATGTCTACTGCTCCTTCTGTTTTTGTTGTTGTTGCTGCTGCTGCAGAGGAGAGCACCACACGGCTGCAGCCCTGCAGGGGCACCGTCCTCCCCCACAACATGCAGCGTAGGCAGCAGCACAGAGTGCCTCTGCAGGTCGAAGGCGACCTGCAGCAGCAGCACAGCATCTTCTACATGGAGCTGCTGCATTCGGCGATTTTGTGCTGTTGCTTCTGCTGCAGCAGCAGCTGATCGCGGCGTCCCTGCGGCGTTAGCAGCTGCAGCGGCAGCAGCAGCGGTAGCGGAAGCAGCAGCAGCAGCTGCTGCCATCACACGACGAGTATAAGACACAGGAGCTAAAGACAGAGGCAAAGGCAAGCTCAATGGGACCTGCCAGCCCCCTACAGCTTGCTGACACCCAGCTGCTCCTTGTGCTGCTGCTGCTGCTGCTTGCGCTGCAACCGCAGTTTCTTCCGGTGTTATTGCGGCATCTGGTGCTGCGCACGTCCGCGCATTCTTCCTACTGCTGCTGCTGCCCACAGAAACCAGACGGCTTTGGCATGGGGCCCTAGCACCGCTTTGCCCTGATGCATGAGTTGCTGCTGCTGCTGCTGCTGCAGTTGTTTTTGTTTTATCTGATTCATGCGAAGGGGATTCTGGAGGGGACGCTGCTCCTCCTGCAGCTCCTGATGCTTCCGTGGCAGCAGCACCCCCACCTGCTGCTGCTGCAACAGGGGCTGCCGCAGACACCTGAAAAACCTGAGGCCGATTGGGCTGCGTGACTGTTGCGGGGCGACAGCAACAGCTTCTGCAGCAGCTGCTGCTGCAGCTGCTGCAGCTACTGTTTTTTCCACCTGCGGCATGGAGCGGGGGCACTGCTACCGAGGCTTCAGGAAGAGGAGGAGCAGCAGCAGGGACGGCTGCATGTGTCGTTTCTGTTGCCCCCGTTTCTGCTGCTGGGGCCGAGCAGCTTGATTCTGCGGCCGAAACATTGCATGCAGAGTCATGCTCCGCAAAGCTACTGCTACTATTGTTGCTGCTGCTGGTGTTGCTGCTGTTGCTGCCCCAGTCGCTGCGGGTGAGGCAGCAGCGCGTCCTGTGCTCATTGCAGGTGCTAAGCGGCCGCTTGTGTTGCGGTGCAGTAGCAGCAGTAGCCGGCCTGTTGCTGCTGCTGGGTCTGATTTTGCTGCAGCCACAGCACGAATCCCTCTCGCCACAGGGTGGAGATGTTAACTCTGTGTGGAGCCCCTGCTGTCGCTGCTTCTGCTGCAGTTGATGCTGCGGAGGCAGCGTACCGTCTGAGGAGTCCACTGATTGCGCTGCGACTATATCTTTTCGTGTCAAGGGGGCCGCTGCCGCTGCTGTTGCTTCCGCTGCTGCAGGAGCTGACGCAGCTTCCCTGTGTTCTGTGGGGTTCCAGTGCGGCCGGAGCATCGCCTCGGCCATGTCAGGTGTGTGTACAGCGTCAGGAGCATTGGCGCTGCTAGCTGCCTCGGGGGGAAGGGAGCTAGGTACTTTTACCGAGCTACTCGCAGCAGCAGCAGCAGCAGCGGGGGCAGTAGCAGCAGCGTCTGCTTCGCACAAGCAAACGCTGGGGGGCCCTGAAATCTTCCGCATACGTCAGCGGGGGCTGGCGTTGCAGGGGGCCTCCCCATAAGCCGATATGTGCGGTGAGTATCTGCATGCAAGGGCCCCTGGAGCTGCTGCTGGTGCTGCTGCTGCTGCTGGTGCTGGTGCTGCTGCTGTTGCTGCGTTGCTATAGCAGAATACCACTAACTCAGCCGCTGTCTGCACCTCCTGCTGCGCTAGTCGGCGGAGGCACTTGAATAAGGGGAGCAGCTAATGGCTACTACTGCGTTTAAATAGAAGAAAAGAAAACGAAAAGAAACACAAGGGGAAATAGGAGCAAGCCAAGGATGAACTGGCTTTGCCGCACGGCCCCCCAACCAGCGAGCTGTAGTTCGTTATGTTGAGGATCCAGCGGCAGCAAAAAGCCCCAAGAGAATCTTTTCCCTGCTGCATGCAGCCAAAGGAATATTCAAAAGAAATATTAAAAAAAGAATGGCAACAACCCTGCTGCAGCAGCGCATCTTGCTGTACAGCTGTACCCTCCTGCCGCCCCCCCCACCGCCGACCAGAACACCACCCTTCCCCCCC